TGACAAAACGGAAACAGGAGTGGAACGAAACACATCAGTAGAATGGCAGAGGATAGTATAGTACGAATAGCACGAGATAAGCCACCAAATGGACGAAGAAGTATTGGCAGACGAAGAAAAAGATGGTGCGACAATTTAAACAATTTAGGAGGCTTTGAACCCTACATACAAGAAGGAAGAAGAAGAAGAAGTATAATATTGACTGGTATGTTTCTTTTATACAGTAGGTGTAACGATCGACTTGGATGCGATCGAAAGTCTTTGTCAAGTCTATAAAACCGATATGCTGGTTTATTATACTCGATGGCCTTTTCTGTGATTTGTCTTAGTACAAATACGGCGTCTATGCAGGATTCTTGGGATCTGAATCCTTATTGTTCATCTGATAAAGTTGTTAGTTTATTGATTTTGTTGATTAGGACTTTTGTGGTAATTTTAAGTGCGATGTTCAGTAGTTTTATACCTCTATAATTATTGAGGTCTTCTTTATCTCCTTTCTTGAACATTGGTATCATTATGCTACTTCTCCATGCGTCTGGTATCTTGCAGTGCAATATTAGTTTTTGTATAAGTCTTTGTCATCTCTTGTTTATTATTTTCCTTTCCTTTTAAACAATTCCGTTAGGTACCTTTCCCATTCGTTTGCTGGATAAGCAGTATAAATAATTTGGCAGAAATGATGATTACTTAAGATTTTCTCATTTAATAAAAGAATGTAAACAAGTCTCCTCTCAATGTTATAGTAAATATTCGAATGCTATTGAGAACATAATTATATATAATCTTCGATATTTTCGGAAAGATATAAATAGCAATCAAAAAAGTTACAATCTGACATCTAGTATGTTCTATGATGATAAGTAGTACAGGTGATACTGGTCAAGTCATAGTTAATTTATTTGATAATTTTTCGACTGTTCTAACAACCATTCAAATTTCGTCATTTTGTGTCATGTGGAACAATTTCACCCAATCATGTCAACATTAGACTGATAATTGCATTCAGTGCAATTTTCAATCCCTATGACAACACGATCGAGTTTGACAACTTCATCCAAATAAATTTCAAAATGTCACGTTTCGGCAATGAGAATGTTCAAAGTATAAATGTCAATGAATTAGCAAAAAGTGGTGTAGAAGAACAACAATTGCTAAAAATTACTGGTCATGGCAATCAGAATTCTATAAAACCATACTTGAATCTCGATCAAGAACACCACAACAAGATTATAAATATTATGCGTGGTAATAGATCTTCTATAGTAGAGAACAGCAACGAATCTAATGTTAACTTAAATTTTAATAATTGTACTTTCACTAACTGTACTTTTAATAAATAAATGTTTCGTTATGTTGAGTTATGATTTTTTTTTTCGAAAAATTATCCGCCGAATATCCCTCGGACATTGATGAATGCCTCATAATTTCATGACAAATTTCTCAAGCTCGTTGCTTGGTAACAGCACTCAGCCTTCGGCTTCGTGCTGTTACCAAGGAACGAGCTTTCGATTGTCATGAAATTATCTCGTCTGTTATCAATGTCCTAGGGATATTACTACTGATAATTTTTTCTCAACTACATATTCTAATTCTACTACTAACTACTCAGATTAAAAATTTTTACTATCAGCAGAGTGTCAATGTGAATAATTATTATAATAAGCTTAATTGATAGTGTTTTAAAGATGCCTTGGAAATGATCGCATGGACCAAGTTGTCAGCTAGCTTATGTACTTTAATCTCCTAATCGGCAGTACTGCATTGATTAGTGATCAGTGTAGTAGTGTCTGGGGGCTTGGCAGGGTGAGACCTTGGAATTCCTGAAAAAGACATCAGAGAAAAGCGCCGAAAGCTCTATAGAGCTACTACTTAGAAAAATACGTCAGTCACGTTTAATACGTTAAACATTTAACTCATAAGGTTCAAGCTACAGGTGACGTTAACAACACAAAGCACGAAGTGTACCGTCGAGTGCAAAATGACGCAGTTGAATTGGTGGTATTGGGTCATTTAAAAATGAATGTCTATCAGACAACTATCATATGGTGTATCAGCATCTAGTTTTTATCGAATCCCATAAATTTTACCCTTATCAAATACGATTACTTCATCAATTAAACGAAGATGATCCTGATCGTCGGCTTCAATTTCGTGAAGAATTTAGTGAAATCATAAATAACAACCAACATCGATTGTACAATACGATTTTCTTTTTTCGACGAGTGTACTTTTGTGTTAAATGTAGAAGTTAATAGACACAATTGTCGTTATTGGAGTAACAGTAATCCTCATTTATTCATGTAAACCTATTGAAATTTGTTAGAAGACGTTATTAATCCGCTGATCACTGACAGATTGGAATCTGATAATAATCTTTTAGAGATTTCCTGAGAACTGACTTTCCAACAGGACGGGGCATCCCCACATTATGATAGACGTGTAAGACAATTTTTGAATCAACGTTTTCCAGGGCGTTTGATTGTCAGAAGGGATCCAATAGAGTGGCCGGTCATATCATCAGATCTTTCGCTCTTTGGATTTTTTTCTGGGGATACCTAAAATTAAAAATATACCCCAGTCAGTCTGTAGATCTTGCAGAGTCCGCTTGCAGGTGTTGCAGACAAAGAATTGTAACAGAATGTCCATTATTAACACCGGCGGTATTTGCAAATGTACGAAGAGGTTTTGAACCATTTATTTCATAGAAAAATATGTTACATGCATACTCTTGGTCCACTTTACTCTACTTTGTATGCTATTCTTCATACAAAAGTTAATTTTATGCCCTTAAAAATTCCCCATTTTTTACTTTATGAAGCGGTAGTTTTTAAGTAGGTATTTTAAGGGTAGAACTATAATTGAATTTCATAAATTTGATTTAAAACTTAAAAGAAGTTTTATTAAACATATTTGAACATGAATTGAATCTTTAAAATACATAAATCGGGACTTTTGGAATTTTTTCATAGCAGTGTAGTTTTTAGTCTCAAATAGCAAAAACACACATTGTAACAATAGGTACAACTTTTGACACCCCTGGTATTGATAAATAATCATAGGTTTTTTGTAAAATTTGCCTATATGGACAGAATAACTTTTTTATATTAGCAAAGACCTTGAAGTCTTTTCAATGGTGATCGCCAACATCGGCTAACTCTAATATGGCACAAAAAGAGAGATCATTTTAGGGTAGTTGTCAGTAGGATATGGAAATCTATAATCAACCTTCAATAGGAAAGTATCCTTTTGTACGGAAACGGAAATATAATAAATTGTTCTAAGTCACAATTATTTTACTACGGTCCTGTACGTTTGGTTAGAAAAATCCACCTTCATGAGATCAGATTGCAACATATTGTGGAAGTCAGAGAGAGACGGGAAATACAAAACCTGTTTTTCAACCTTCAATATTGTTAAACCGAACAGCGCCCGTCGTTCTTCAGTTTTCAGTTACGATTCTCGCCGAGCAGAACATTTTTATTTGTGTTGTGGCGATCGCAGTGTGCTTGTGCTCACAAAAATAAACATAGTAACCGTATCCACAGGCGTTTCTCTTTGTGTCATTCAGTTCGAGAGAGAAAGAGCTATAATTGAGTGTTAAAATTCTTTAAACCGCGAGTTTTTATATTCACGAAAAAATGGGTTGTGCCACTGGAATTGTTAAGTATTTGGTGTTTCTCGCCAACTTATTGTTTGCTGTAAGTATTAATATTATTTTTATGTAATACCTAACTGTAATAATTTGTTACAATCATTTCTAAATTTAAGCAACAAGTGTATAGGATATACCTGCATACCCTCTCTATTTAGTACTATGTCAACTTTGTAGAAAGTTTTAATGTGGGTGATATTGTATTTTAAATTTGGACTTTGTGCCAAATGTTGAATATATATTTTATTGCTTTAAAAACGAGCTCAAAATTGTTTTTGTTTGACATAATACGTTTAGTAATTGTAATTAAACTTCCTACAAAGCCGTAAAGTTCTTTTTTGACTCTAATATAAAATAAACTTGATAGACGATGTTTTTATGTAATGTTTTGTTATACATATAATTTAAATTAGGTCGAAAGGAAATTGTTTGTATTTAGTGTGTGATATTTCAGTACAAACAAAACAAAAACTACAAATTGGACGTTTCCCTGTTTTATGGTGATTACTATGCTATTACTACAAACTTATTATAGTCATTTTGGTCACAGTTAATCAGAGCAGGACTTAAGAAATACACTGGGATGCAAAATTAACCCGACACTCAGATTTTTTTGCTTTTTGTTGGTGTTTAGATAAAAACTTGTTTAATTTGTTTGAATTGTTTATGCCTTATTAGCGATAACGTTTTTTTCTTGTTTGAACCGGAACCACAACACTTTTAAACATACGTTTTGTTAATAATGTGAAATAGTGGCTGAGCATTAACCCTTTACCGCATGAATTATTGTTTTTTTGTCAAAAATAAATTCTCAGAAAAGAATTTTAATTCTATTTTTACGTAAAAATATTGAAAAAATTTTGCTATATACCAGGAAAACTTTATTGATAAAACAATTTTTTTATTGCCAAACAATGTAATATTAAAGTCAAACTATTTTGAAGCTACAGTATGAACCTGCAAATAACAGTTTCTTTCTTTATTAATACACAACGGTATTGTGCTTTTTGTGCACACTATATATCTGTACCCCGGAGGTAAAGGATACTATGTCAATTTTTCATGAAATTGACTTAATACCATGTTCATAATGTAAAATTTTTGCTCTATACAGTGGTATATGATACTATGTTCTATTCCCAAAATAAGGAAGATAAGGTAATAAAATATTATATCATGTCCATTTTCCTCAGAGGGATATGATACCATGTGGACATAGTATTGTTTACCCCAAGAAACGTTCAGGAGTTTTTAATACCATGTGGACATGATATCATATCTTTGGACGCTAAATTATACACTCTACGATTCGTCAGTAAAAGTGCACATTGCATGATGTGGGATGAGTCCAAAGGTGGGCGAGGTGGAGAGGAAATTTCATCTGCTTTTTTAAAATGGGCCAACAGTGTTATATCTACTTCTTTTCATTGTGTTGTGCTTTTTCTGGATTATGAAAAAATATCGTCAAATACAGTGTGTCAACGTAAAGTACCTCCTTAAAGGTCACACACATATGGAGGCTGATTCTATTCATGCCTTAATAGAAAAAAAAAACGAAAAGAACTTGACAAGCTGACAATCATCACTCCCTGGGACTGGCAGCAAATGGTACGTCAGAGTTCTAACAAATACCATGTATACAACATGGAACAAGAAGATTTTAAACAATTTGATGCACTGTATAAGGGCAAAAACACATCATTTATACATAGAAAAAAAAACATTGAGAATGAGAAATTTCTTATGTCAAATTGTGTACACATACAGTTGAGGCAGGAAAATCTTGAAATGATTTTCCTAAAAACATCATTTGATGGGGAGTTCCAAGCAGTTGACCTGAAAAGGAATACAAGAAGTAGTTCAAGATTGAATGGATGTGGGCCTACATTTCCATCAGCCTTCCACAAAAGAAGGTTGTTCCAATATCCGAACGAAAATACAATGACTTAATTTCTCTCTTACCTTTTATTCCCAGTTATTTCCATGGATTTTATAGGGACCTACCCTATAATAGAGACTACCCAGATATCGATAGTGACAGTGATTCTTGATTTGCTTAAAAATAATGCTTTCATCATAATTATTATTTCATTCTGTCACATTAATTCATTAAAAGAAAGTATCCTGTACTGTGTATGTAGTGTATTATTAAAATTTTGAAATGATTTGTTTTTTAATAAATCATTGTCCTATCACACGCTTGTTGTATTATTATACCTGCCATAAAATCAACATAAAGAAACAATATTTCAAATTGAATAGTGAATAATAATAATTTTCAACAATAATACTCTTATATTATGTCCATCGAACACATATCAAGCCTAGAGGTATACAATACTATGTCCACAAAATATGAATTTTTTAAGGTAACTATCATAATTAAAATTCCAAAATCACTATTCCCATTTGCCTAAGAGTACTATTAACAATTTGTAGGGGTTTCATTAAGAAATTTCTATTAGCTTTAAAGAACCAAATTTTTATAACTTAAAATTGAAGAAAATTTGCTCTCCTGAACAATTAGCAAATTGTGACATAGTATCCTTTACCTCCGGGGTACAGATATGTTTTCCCTGTACAGCCTGGAAATTTGCATCTTGACCTAGTGCTCTCATTAATAGGGTAAATGATCAAGCCCATCTTTACGGATGTCTTCTTGGTGTATTTCTTTACTGGGTCCCTTTTTTCGTTTGTTCTCGTACATTTGCTGAATGCTACTACTTGACGGTCTTCCTACTCTGTTCTGTTTAATTGGTTTTCCGGCTTTGCATAGAGTATCGGCTATTGCTAGTTTGGTATTCAAAAGGGGTAAATCAAATTTCTTCGCTCTTTTGGCTAATAACCAACAGTTCACGGCTGTCATGTCCATGAAATGAAAAAATATTCGTAAATAATATTTCTTCGACCTGATTTTTATACGATAAAATCCTAACATGGAATCAAGGAGATCTACACCTCCCATGTAGTTGTTGTAGATTAGGACACTGTTAGGACAAGGTATCATTTTATGTATACTTTCTTGTTTGAAAAATCTTCTTTTTTCTCCCTTTGGTTCATTTCCAGCATATGTTGACATTGTAGTAACGATTTTATTATCAAACCAGGACACTACACTGACATCCACATTGTCTATATTGGCTATTTGCTCTACCATATGCCCTCTGTCGCGCTTCTTCATTTCTGTTTTCTCAGCTGGCATCACAACTCCAGGAACACGATTAAGTCTTACTGTTCCCAAAGGTAAAATGCCCTTTTTGGTCAGATATATCATAAGAGGTATGCTGGTGAACTAATTGTCAAAAAACAATTTGTAATATTGATGTTTTGGTATCGAATCTGCTAATTTGACAACCACGTTGCTGCTCATACTAAGATTTGGTGCTCCTAGAGACACAATATTACTCTGGGAACCAGCAAACAAATTATAGTCATAGCTGAATTCCGAAATACCACTCACAACAAAGTTTTTGAACCCCACTTATGTGGATTTTTTGGATTATACTGCTTTAGCTGGCTTCGCGCTTTTGTTGGTATAATATGTTCGTCTACAGCTAGAAATTCTTCTTTCGGAACCATGAGTAGTCGTTCTTTGATTTGGTTTTTATTTTTCTTGGTGATTTTCTTGGTTGCAGGCGTTTCAGATCATTTAAAAACAAAGACCGAACTAAACATCAGCAAATTAACTGACAAATACGAAAAGAGTGTCACAAAGCTAAAGAACAGTGGCTGCTAGAGAGGTGTTCAGAAATGGAGGAATTGTAAGAAAAACATGACCACTTTAACATACATAAACTCATTAAAGAAGTGACAGGTCATACAAAACCTTGCAGTTTTAACAGTATTGTGAAAACTCCACTTCAACTGTACTTCGACATTGGAGAAACTACATACAGCAACTATACTCAGACAACACTAGAAGAAACTCTGAAAGTGAATATAAAAGTGAATCCTCCCCCAAAATATTGAAGTCAGAAGTTGTAAGGGCAATCAAGCAGAGCAAATGGGGAAAAGCACCAGGCCCAGTCGACATATACAGACATATAGAGGTCCTAACAAAGTTGAGTGAAGACAATATAGACGCCTTGGTAGATTTTTTTAATGACATTTATGAGTCCGGTCAAATACCACAGGATTGGCTTCAATCAACTAAAGAAGAATGACTGGGCTTGAAGATTAATATAGAAGATTAATATAAATATAAGAGTAAACAATAAGAACATCCAAAAGGTCACCAAGTTCAGATATCTCGGTAGTTGGATAACTGAAGATCTATATCCAGACATAGAGATACGTAGCAGGATTGAGCAAGCCAGAACAGCATTTACTAATATGAGAACCTTGCTAAGCAACAGCAGCCTCAACATAACGCTTCGATATCGCTTTGTAAAATGTTACATTTACTCCATAGTGCTATATGTAGAAACCTGGACCATAAAGGCCAATGTGATGAACCGATTGGAGGCCTTTGAAATGTGGGTATTTAGAAGACTACTTAAAATTCCTGACAATCACACAACAAATGTCGAAGTATTAAATCGAATGGGCAGAGAACGAGAATTGCTGCCAATAATAAAAAGAAGAAAAACTGCTTATCTGGGTCATATATTTCGAAATTCCAAGTACCAGTTCTTAAAGCTTATTATGGAAGGGAAGATAGAAGGAAAACGGGGCATCGGAAGAAAGAAATACTCATGGCTTAAAAACATAAGGGATTGGACAAACCTCGATGCCCATGCACTCTTTAGAGCCACACAAGATCGAGAGGAGTATGCAACATCCACTAATTGGATAGGACACCATAAGAAGAAGTCTCACTCCCCTTAACTCACCTGACCACTCTATTAAAATGCTCCTTAAAATTTATTTCCCCAAAATTTTTCATCTACTTTTTCTCTAAAATTTTCACAATAAATGATTGTGTTGGTCTGAATTCGGCGATATTCGAACTTTTTTGTGCCACCGAATTTGTCGTTTTCCTACATCATTACAGAGTATTAAGTAAATGTGTTACAGGTTTTGGCGTGAAGGAGAGACATCCAATGA